AGCAATAAGCTAGCATCGCTGCTTTGTGACGCTCAGATTGACAGTCAGAATTTGATGATGATGATTTTTTTTTTCACCACTCAATCTCCACCTTATGCCTTGATTATATATTATTTTCACGCTTTTTGCTTGCTACCAATTTTTGAAGAAAGCATTGATTTCCTCTATTTCCTTTCCCTTCCACTATTTCTGCAATTTTCTGGAACTTTAAATAGATTGTAAAACAGATTAAGGGCATGTTTGATTTGAATTAAAATCTGACTTTAATCTAAGTCAAAGTCAAATAATCAATATTAACCATATCTTTCATGTCCCCCATAATTTTTCAACCTTGCATTTCAAACACTTTTATTACAATTTACTAAAAAAAATTTAATTTTAATCTCCACCAAACACCCTCTAAAATACATGGGTTCAGTGTTTTCATCTCCTACCACAATCTCTAGCAAGTGGTTCAACATGTCCTTGAAATCAATAGCTTTCCTCTTTGAGATTCCACTCTCTTAACATCCCTTTGTTATTAATACTTGAATATTCCTATTGTAGGCTCTCTGGAGATTATGGCTTCGACCCTTTAGGTCTCGAAAAGGATCCAGCATTCTTGAAATGGTACATCGAAGCTGAGTTGATCCATAGCCGATGAGGGATGGCTATAGTGGTGGACATCTTTGTTGGACAAGCCTGGAGTGGCATTCCCTGGTTCGAAGTTGGATCTGCACCAAGGATTGTTGCATCCTTCTCTTTTGACTCTTTTTGGCACCCAACTACACATTTTATGATGATGATTATAGACACTGAGCATTGTAGATTGTAGTGTTCTAATTGCTGCCTTGTTCTGTTGAGGTCTACATATACAGAGGAGGGCATGGTGGTTTAGTTGTGGGATTGTGATGTTTGGTGTTTAGGTGATATGTGATCGATCTAGTGACTTGATTTTGATTGTGATGCTGAGTGATTTTGTGAATATGATTTTGACTGTGATGTTGAGTGATATGTGAATTGGATTCGGTTTTAGGCTTTTAGTTAGCGGTGACGGTGGTAATGTAGGTGGTTGTTGTGGTGCTGGATTTGGGTTGGGTTGGGATTGTATAAACACGGTCTGTGATCAGTAAATTGGGTTAGTTTGTGATCAATAAAAATAGATATTTTGTGATATTGACTTAATGAGCTGTGACATGTGAGCTAATAGCATGTCACATGTTTTTGTGGACTTGTTACAAGTCACAAATCAATGTCCACGGTCGCAAATCAAATAGAGTTGGATGCGGATCATTGATTTATGTTCACATATCAATATCAATTGGTTACAGGAGATTTTCACAGGTCACAAGTCACCATTCGAAGGTTACATGTCATATTGTATAGTTTTCAAATGTTCACAGATTGTAGGTTATAGTTCATGGGTTGATATTAATTGATCACATATTATATAGTTCACGTCACATGTTATATAGTTCATTGGTCATATTGTATAGGTCACATTTACAAGTCACATGTTATAGTTCACAGGTTATAATTCACATGTCATATTGTATAGATCACAGATATTCACGGTCACATGTTATAATTCACAGGTCAATATTAATTAGTCACGATTATAGTTCACTAGTCACGTGTCACGATTCATAAGTAACAGATTAATGTTTATGGTCACAAATTCAAGAGAAATTGTCGTGGGCTATTGCAACAATATCGCAGGTAACAAATCAATCAGGTCACGGATCCAAGATAACTGATCACAAGTATTGGGTTAATATAATAGGTAACAGTTTATAAGTAACTATGTTTCTTCCTCTCTCTCTCTCTACTATATCAACCATTGATGATGCTCAGTAGATGTTCTTCAATGGCCACTATGTTTCTCTCTCCCTCTACTATTTGAGTTGACGATACTCAATCGCCTCTGAGCTATTAGGTCGCTATTGAATAAGATGCTTAGCTGTCGATGATCTTTGAAAGATTTTTCTTCGACGAAGTTTTTTGAATATCGGTGATTGTGAGACTGTAACGCTCCGACTCGCATGAACAGAAACGTCACTCAACCATTATACCTTAACCGTAAAGTTAGTTCAATATATTTTTAGTAAAAGGTATAAAGATTAAATTTTAGAATTTAATTAAAGATTTTTTTTAAAACAATAATTCAATTCTAAAAGAAAAAAATTTCAAATTTTTTTTTTTTTAGAATGGGTTCCATGTATGTAATGATTATTGACGTGAAATTTTGGCAAAACTTAAAAAGTAATGTTGCTGTTCCAGTTTGTCTCAAACAGTAATTGTCAAAATAAATTTGTTTTCATAGCTATCGACCTTGACACTTCATCAAATTTTAATTTAAGGTAGTAAACTCCTTATAATATGACATAGTAAAAAATTAGCTTCCGTCGACGTCATATGGGGTATTAAAATATTTTTCAAAACTCAGAAGCGACCCGATTGAAAGGTAAACTGGTGTAGTTCACTTAAAATGACATATAAAATTCTATCGACGTCAAAATCACATGATTTCAAATTTATTCAGTAGCTAATCCATGAGACTATCAAATCCAATTGGTTTCATCCAAAAATTTCAAGTAACGAGTGAGTTATGAATTTTTGAAAATAAGGGTAGAAAATGAAAAACAGAGACAGCACCCCGCACAGTTTACTTTATATGACATATAACCTTTTACCGATATTGGATTGACATGATTCCAATTTTATTCAGTATCTAACTTATTAGGCTATCCAGTCCAATTGGTTTCGTATAAAAATACCAAGTAACGAAAGAGTTATGATCTTTTTTAAGGATGAGGCATAAACTAAAATTTCTGAAGAGACATCAAAACTTTAAGTCACTAACTTTTTTTTTTTAATACGGTGATTTGTAAATTTATTCCTATGACGCATATCTACTTTCAAACATAATTTATTCATAACGAGTGTTCATAAAATAGATCTACACAATATTCTTTTTGTCTCAAACAGTAATTGTCAAAATAAATTTGTTTTCATAGCTATCGACCTTGAAACTTCATCAAATTTTAATTTAAGGTAGTAAACTCCTTATAATATGACATAGTAAAAAATTAGCTTCCGTCGACGTCATATGGGGTATTAAAATATTTTTCAAAACTCAGAAGCGACCCGATTGAAAGGTAAACTGGTGTAGTTCACTTAAAATGACATATAAAATTCTATCGACGTCAAAATCACATGATTTCAAATTTATTCAGTAGCTAATCCATGAGACTATCAAATCCAATTGGTTTCATCCAAAAATTTCAAGTAACGAGTGAGTTATGAATTTTTGAAAATAAGGGTAGAAAATGAAAAACAGAGACAGCACCCCGCACAGTTTACTTTATATGACATATAACCTTTTACCGATATTGGATTGACATGATTCCAATTTTATTCAGTATCTAACTTATTAGGCTATCCAGTCCAATTGGTTTCGTAT